GATGCAGCAGGGCTGTTCCTGCTTTGGGAGATCCCACAGAGCTCTGCAAGAGGAGAGACAGGATCTTGGCAGAGCTCACTGCTCCAGGCCTTCCCCAGCAGCAGCCCCTGTTAGAGGGGACTCTGCCCTTGGAACAATTCCTGCTGCAGGTGGACTCAGCTTCATCCCCAAGGAAGCTCTGCATGGGGAGGTTCAGTACCTGGGCACTGACGGGAACATGCTAGGAACTGGGATGGGCCGTGTTATAGGATGTGCCTGTGGTGTCTGTGGCCTGTGACTCTGAGAGAGCACGGGGTCCTGTGGCAAACTCCACTTGCTCTGCTCCTCCCGTAGGTTCAACCGTAATGGGCACCTCAAGTTCCACACGCAGCGTTTGCACAGCTCTGAGGGGAAGAGGCCAGGGCCTGCTGCTGCCCAGCAGACCATCATCCTGAACAGTGACGAGGACACCCTGGCCACCCTGCACAGTAAGACGTGTCCCTGTGACCAGGACTGACCTGCTGGTGTCCTGCAGCCAGAACCCTGTGCGGGATTCACCTAGCCCATGGGCCAGGCAGGGCTGAGTGGGGTCAGGGCCAGGAGCGGCCTCTGGGGAGTGGGGCCATGGGCAGCCCTGGCAGTGTCCCCACTGGTGTCCCCAGCAGCTCTCTCTGCATTGCAGCAGCTCTGCAGGCCGGCCAGGCCGTGCTGGCTCCTGAGAGGCTGCAGCAGGCTCTGGGGCAGGAGCACATCCTTGTCACGCAGGAGCAGAGCGTCACCAGCCAGGTGAGTCGGGCCCCTTGGCCTCAACCTCCCTCTCAGGGCACTGCAGCCAGGCCCAGCCCCCTGACCACATGGGGCACTTACTGACCTTGCAGGAGGAGGCAGCCTACATCCAGGAGATCACAACTGCAGATGGGCAGACAGTACAGCACTTAGTGACCGCTGACAACCAGGTGAGGGGACACGGCCCACGGACGGGGGACTCTGCCCAGTGGGAGCTGGGAGAGCTGGTGGCAGTAGGGACAGCAGGGGTCAGTAGGGAGAGCTGGAGGCACTGGGTGGTGAAAATAGGCACAGGAGACAGATCTAGCCCCGTGGTGGTTGGGGGGGGTGGGCAGTGGTGATCTTTTCTGGGTCTGAATTCCTGTGTTTGCAGGTTCAATACATTATTGCCCAGGAAGGCGTCCCACACTTGCTTCCCCAGGAGTATGTTGTTGTCCCAGAGGGACATCACATCCAGGTGAGCTTCAGGCTGTCCACTCCCTTCACCCAGTGGGTGGGGCTCATAGGGTGCCATGTGTGGGGCTGAGCCCCCTTGGGCCCCCTCCAGCTTACTCAGTTCAGGTCACAGCTTTGTTGGGGCCCTGGACAGTCACAACCCTAATGCAGCTTCACTGCTTGTCCCCAGGTACAGGATGGTCAGATCACCCACATCCAGTATGAGCAGGGCAGCCAGTTCCTCCCGGAGTCGCAGGTAAGGAGCCAGGCAGGAGCTGGAGGGGCTGCTGTGAGGTGATCCCTGAGCCTGCCTGGAGAGGGCAATGTGAAACGGTGCTCATGGGCTGGTACCTCAATGCAGCGACTGTGGCGAGAGCAGCTCCACAAGAGCCCCTTCCCTCAGGCCTTCCCTGTTCTCCCCTGTGCAGATCCAGTACATGCCTGTGTCACCTGAGCAGCAGCTCGTCACCCAGGCACAGCTGGAAGCAGCGGCACACTCAGCTGTCTCAGGTAGGAGCAGGGCTCTGGGCTGAAGGGGCCAGTCCTCCCAGGGCTTGGGATGCCAGTCCTGCCAGCAGTGGTGGTTGGGGCTGGCAGGGAGCTGTGCAGTGGCCCTGGGCGAGAGGGCTGGGAAGGCGAGCCTGGATTGCTGTTTTGCTGAGGGCGGATCTTTGCTGATCCCAGCCTGTCAGTTCCAGAACAGAGTTAACCAGAGCTGGGCTCCCTGCTCCACAGAGCATGAGCCCCACAGGAGCGAGGTGGCCGTGTGTCCCTTCCCTGGGAGCAGGAGAGGGGACCCTGCAAGGTGGTGCTGACCCCCCTTTCCCTGCAGCAGTGGCAGATGCAGCGATGGCCCAGGCCCAGGGCGTCTTCAGCACTGAGGCGGCAGCCGAGCAGATCCATCAGCTGCAGCCGGGCATCCACTACGACGTGATCACGCTGGCAGAGTAGCACCGGGCAGGGCTGGGCACCGCGCTGGGCAGGCGGCCACGCCAGCAGCAGCCCCAGCCAGCAGTTGCCTTATTGCATCAGGGCTGCGAGGGACACGCCCGAGCCGGAGCGGCACGGACATGGACACAGACACGCTGCCGCTCGGCCCCGTGCCAGTGGGGTCCTGTGCATCCCCCCAGAGACTGCTCAGCAGCCGCAGGGGCAGCCCGTGTGTGGACGGTCTCTTTGCCTGTTGCGCTGGATGGTCTGAAACCCCTTCTCCCGAATTGTCTGTGTGTGCAGCCACAGATCAGTGTCTGCCCAGCACACGAGGGTCCTGGGGGAGCCGTGGGGCCGGGCACAGCTGTGTGGTGTGATGTGAGAGGCGAGATGTGTGCAGCCACAGCCATGTGCTCCCCACAGCCATGGGGCCTGTGGTCCCGCTGTGCCAGCAGCCAGCCCTCCCGTGGCATTTCCAGCCTGCAGGCAGGCAGCAGCAGGGCTCTGGACTGGAGACACCTGAGGAGGAGGAGGAGGCAGAGGTGGAAGATGCTCTATTTTTCTTCTGAAGAGGGGATGGACTCTGGTGTTGGTCGTCGGTGGTTGTGGGAGGGGTTCAGCTGCGACATTCTCAAGCTTTGACTATGCTTATGAATAAAAAGGGATGGAGACCTGGGTGTGTGCCTGTCTGGGGGTCCGGGCTCTGGCCAGCGGGGACGGGACAGCCCAGTCTCCCCAGCACATCCCCTGGGGCTGCAGCACAGGGGTCCCAGAGCCCAGCGCTGTGCTGGGTCCAGCGCTGCTGGCAGGCACTCTGGGCTATCAACTGCCTCCCGCCCGAGTGACCTTGACTCTTGGGAAGTGAGCCGGGCAGCTGGGACAGCGGTGGGCTTGGGGCTGGAGTCATGAAATTAATCGAGTGGTAAACAGCCTAAATCCCGTGTAACTCTGTCCCGAGCCCCACACCGCCCTCCTGAGCGGCTTGTCTGGGCGTATTTACATGCGATTATAACAGCTAATCGCGGAGTTTTAGTTCTCTGCTCCTGCATTAAACTGATTATCCACGGAGGGGGAAAAAGGCCGGGAACCACCCAGCCTCGGGGAGAGCCTCTGTGAGGCCCAAGCCCCACAGCTCTGGGACCGGTGCAGTGCAATCCCTGGGAGCTGTGATGGGCTCTCCCTGTCCTGCTCAGGCAGGGGCAGGGGGTGTGGGCCGGTCCCCCTGACCACCAGGGCAGTGAGGTGTGTGTGGCCCCCTGTGGTGACCAGCCCTGGCTGTGGCTCTGTCCCGGCTGTGGCTTCATCCCAACTGTGGCTCTGTCCCGCTGCCTTCACACCGGCCTTGTCCATGCCCAGTGCTGCTGGTGCATGGCTGTGCCTGCCCGGCCGTGGCTCAGTCAGTGTCCAGCTGTGTGTGCCGGCGGCTGGCCGTGGCCCTCCCTCTCCAGCTGTGCTGTGCAGGGTCAGGGTGTGCCACAGCAATCCACAGGCGCTTTCCTAGATTACAGCCCCATTATCTAATCAAGTGGATCTGCAGCACTGATTAGGGCTGGAGGAGTCCCGTGGGGACAAGGTTATGGGGCCACTTGCGGGGCCGTGGCCAGGGCAGGTCCCAGCAGGCACCAGTGTTCAGCTGTCCTGTGGCTTCCACACCTGGGGCTGCTCAAGGGCACAAGACCAGGCGCGGTGGGATGGACGGGACCAGAGCTCCAGCTGGTGCTTATTGAGAGCTCCAGGTGCTGCTGGGGCTCTGGCCATGGGGGCACTGCAGGGGCTTGGGACCCCTTGGCACTGGCACCTCAGCCCAGGGACCTTCTGCTGTTGCCAGGGCCTGCGGAGAGCCAGGGGTGCGTCCAGGCTCATTAGCACCGGTGACCTTCGCCTTCCCGTCCTGGCCAGCGCTAAGCGGGTTTGTTACATATTTAATATCCTGAGAGCGTTATTAGTCGGTATTTAATGACGGATACAACCTGTGGGATAATCCCAGTCTTAGCAGGGAGGCGCGGCGGCAGGAGCGGGCGGCTCGGGGGGTCATGGGTTCTCGGGGCCCCTCTCACAGCTGCCCACCACTGCCCTGCCCACCCGCTGCCCCCGCTGCACAAGCCACAGGAGCCCCCCCGGTGCCTGCAGGGATCCCCAGCTGTCCCTGGGGCTGCAAGACCCTTCCCCTTCACTGCTCTGCTGCCAGGAATCCAGCGGCAGGCATGGTAGTGCTGGGTGAGGACCTGGCCAAGACACAAGGGGAGCAGGACAGGGCAATATGGGGGGTTGTTCTCCCACCAGGTGTGAGTCCACCAGTCCCTGGCCCTCCAACCCAGCCCTCCACAGCATGGGGGACTCTGCCGACCCCAGCTCCAGGACCAGGTCAGGGCTGGGGTCATGGGCAGGACTGATGTTCTGGGCACTGCAGTAAAGCCCCAGGTGTGTTGTGTCTGTGGCTGTGAGTGGCTGTGGAGCTCACGTGGGTCCCAAGCACCAGCCCCTGGGTGCCGCTGCACCCCATCCGTGGGGGCCGTGTAGGCTGTGCAGAGTTGGGGGGCTGGAGACAGGGTCCTGGCCAGTGGCAGGCAGACAAGGAGGGCAGTCCCTGCCAGTCCCTGCCCAGCAGTAGCCGGGGGGGTACTGGGTGCCCCAGATCCTGCTGCTGCTCTCGTGGGTGCTAATACCCCCTAATCAGCTGTCAGTCACTGCAGACCCCAGCAGCTATAAAACGCCCAGGAGCAGCTCCCCAGCTCCTCTCCTGCAGCATGGCAGCACCTCAGGGCAAGAGGAGCCCAGGACAAGAGCTGGGGAGCTGTGGGGGGCCTTGGGGGACCCTGCGGGGACCCCCTCAAGCCCTACTGCCCTGCCCCTACCCATGCCCTTACCCCATGCTGGCTGGGTACAGCCTCCTGCCACCCCCTGTGAGCCTCCTGACGCCCCTGGTAAGTACGGGGCTGCAGATCCAGGGGGCTGGGATATGGGACCCTCCCAGAGCTGGGATGGGGCTGTGTGGGGTGGTTAGGGTGGGGGCTGGGGATCTGCTGTCCCGAGTCCCCTGTGCCTCTCCAGCACTCCCCTGCCTGCCCCCACATACCCTCCTGCACCCCAGCACTTCAGGATCTGCATGGGAAAGGGTGAGGAGGGGAAGGATACAGCTCTGCTCCCTCCCACACACGAAGGGATGTAGGAACCCCTACATCTGTCAGCCTCTCTCCTCTGGCCATGTTACCCCTCCACCCCATCCCACCCTGACACCCCTTTGCCCCTCCAGGTCTCCCCACCCTACGAGGTGCCGCTGGGGCTGCCCACAGAGCCAGGTCGGGCGAAGGCAGCGGCAGCGCGGGAGAGCACCGGGGCACTGAAGGCCTGGCTGGCACGGCACCCCAGGAACCCCTACCCCAGCAAGGGGGAGAAGGTGATGCTGGCTGTGGTCAGCCGGATGAGCCTCACCCAGGTCTCCACCTGGTTTGCCAACGCCCGCCGGCGCCTCAAGAAGGAGAACAAGGCAGGCTGGGCCGCGCGCGGCGCCTCGGACGGCGAGGACAGTGAGGGAGAGGGGGTCCCACCAGCTGCTGAACCCATTCCCAGTTCCACCCCCGTGCAGGATGGGCGTGGGGGCAGCCCTGAAGTAGGGCCAAGCCCTGGGCAGGGCAAGCAGCCCCAGAAACCCAAGATCTGGAGTGTGGAGGCGATGCTGGCATCTCCCCCTGACAAGGACGGGTGTCCACCGGGATTGCCAGTGGTCCCAGAGCAGGCATAGAGCTGGGGTGGTCATGTCCTGTCCCCAAGGGCATGGCAGGACAGACAGACATGGGACCTGGCGGCTGCTCAGCCAAGAAGAGTGGGAGATGTGGGCAGGGAGGGACACAGTGATAATAAACGCGACTGTCTTGGGCCTCCTGGTGTTGCCTGTCTGGTGTGGGTGCTGCTGGGGGTGCTGGCAGGGATGTGGCGTGTGGTCGGGATGCTGGTAGGGATGCAGATGTGCCAGCAGGGATGTGGGGAACTTTAGTGCCAGTGGTGCTGTGAGCAGTCCCTGGGGAACAGGGCAGGTCCAAGGTAGAGAGCAAAATTAGACTTTTTTCTTCTCGATAAAAGTAATAAAATGGTTAGCGGTGTTAAATTAATCCTTACAAAACAAAACCCAAGGAGGTTAAATAAAGCCCGCAGGCTTCGCATAAAAACCACAACGACTACAAAACAGCTGCAAAGACGTCTTTACACACCAAAGAAACTCCTCTTCTCTGCTCCTTCCCTCTCCAGGACACAGTGTCGGCAAACACGGGACTCACACATGGGAAAAGAACACGGATGCGATGGGAGCAGCCCCGCCAGGAGCGTGGGCACCACGGACAGAACTATTTACACTATGGACACGGAGCCGTGCTGGGGCCGGTCCGGCCGCAGGAGCCCCCGGGCTCTGCCTGTCCCTCTCCTGCTGGGGCCCCTCCGGCCGTGGCACTCAGCGCCCAGCACCCGCCCTGCCTCAGTTAGGATTAGTCTCTCGGCTGCTGCTCTGCTCTCAGCCCAGCTCCTGCGCTTTGTCCGCTGTGGAAGAGGAGGATGAGGAGCTGAGGGTCCAGCCCAAGTGCTTGTAGGCTGCAATGAGCTCCTGCAGCCACTCAGGTGTGGGCTCCCACATGGAAATTCTAGTGCTGTTCTGCATGGGAAGGCACCAGGCGCTGAGCTTCTCCCTGTGGTCCAGGCAGAGCATGCTGTGGATCAGGGAACACCTGTACCCCAAGGGACAACACTCCAAGTAACCCAAACCCTCCTTGGCACAGGCACAGGGGTTGGCCTGGCAGGGTCAGGAATGGGGGAACCCAAAGACCTCCAGGCACAGGCACTGGCAGAGGCTGTAGACAATGCAGAGGAGGAGGGTGGAGGGCACAAGGCTGACCAGGATGATGCCCAGGCTGTGGTGCTCAATGAGCAGGAGGTAGATGCCGAAGGGCAGGGAGCTGAAGTAAAGGAGGCAGAGGATGCCCAGGATGAAGCGGGGGATGGCTCGCCAGCCCCAGGAGCGGCACTTCTGCCCGGGGCCATGGCAGGGCAGCACACCCAGGCTGGTGGGGCGGTACAGCCGCACCACCTCCAGCCTGCCCAGGCTCTCCGGCGGGGCCACGTCCTCTGGCACCTCCAGGATGGTGACAACCAGGCAGTCGGGGCTGGACGTGGGCTCCAGCACGCCAGGGCAAAGGAGGACCTCCGGGGATCGGGGGGGACCCCTCTTCTTGGCCCGTTCACGGCCTGTCAGCAGTGCCAGTGCCTCACCATCATCCTGCAGCTGCTGCACGTCCCCGCCGGGCACTGGGCTGTGCTGGCGGCAGAAGGGGCAGCGGAGCTGGGGGGTTGATGCATCACCCGGAGACACCATCCTGCGCAGGCAGCGGGTGCAGAGGCGATGGCCACAGTGGAGCAGTTTGGGCCTGCGGGCGCGGGCGTCAAAGTGGCTGTAGCAGATCTGGCACTCCAGCTCAGGGGACGCGGGTGCCACTGGCGGGGACCCCAGCTCGCTGCTCTGGGCCATGGCTCCCGGAGGGGTGCTGGGAGCTGCCTGGGCTGAGGGAAGATGCTGTCAGCCAGGGTTGGGGGCAGGTCCTGGGCCTGATGGCTCCCACGGGTGGGGTCCTGGCCCTGCTGCACCCCACAGTCAGTGTCCCGGTGAGCCCCAGGGGCTCGGTGGGGGAGCAGGGTCGGGGGAGCGGGGCCCTACCCGGGCCGAACTCCAACCCCCTGGTCACTGCCACCGGCGCTGGCACTCGCCCTCATCCCGGCCCCCGTTTCTGGGGGGCACACCGCCACCGGGGGAGGGCACCGGCGTGGGGGGGTAGCTGACGGGCGCATCCTTGGCTCTCACGGCGTATGCCGGTTCCCTGGAGCCCCCGGGGTGGGGACTGCTCCGGACACCGGCTCTGTGGGCGGTGAGGAACCCCCCATCCCTCACCCCCGTCCCTCTCCCGGGGCGAGCAGCTCCCGGTCCGCACTCCCCGCCCCCGCTCCCGGCCCGCACCGCATCCCCTCCCGTACCTGCGCTCCGCGCCGCCGCTCCCGGTGGGGACACAGCGGCGGGTCGGTCCCCAGCCCCGGTCTCGGCGGGCTCGGTGGTGCCGGTGGGCTCCGCGGCGGCGGGCTCGGGCCCGGCAGCCCCATGGGGGGAGGCGCGGGGCGCTGCCCGCCGCGCTGCGGGGGCGAGCGCGGCGCAGGGGCCGCCGGCAGCGCCGCGGCGTTGGCCCGGTAACGGGGAGCGGCGAACGCGGGGGGATCGGATGGGCCGGGCCGGGGCCCCGCGGAGCCCCCTCGGGCAGAACCGGCCCCCGCCGGGCTGCGGGAGGACGATGCAGGGGTCTATGCAGCGGTCGGTGCGGCGTTTGGTGTGGGATAGGCGCAGCTCCCTGCACGCCGCGGTCCTCCCTTTCTGGTCAGCCTTGAGGATGCTCCTTCGCAGCCTGGGGACTGCGGCAGTGGCCCTGGGGTCCGGCACTCCCTGGGAGTCCAGCCGGGGGCACTCAGGGGACGGGTTCGGGCTGGGCACGGCCGAGCCCCGGGCACATCCCACTCTGCAGGTTGTTACTCCCCAGCCCGGTCAGATCTGCCCCAGGCTGCTGCCCTTACAGGTTTCCAGCAGCCCCGGGGGACAGGAGCACTCAGGGACCCCCCACCCCTCCGTCCCTCCTGCCAGGCAGAACAGCAGCAGCACGGAGCACCACGGGGGCACAGTTAATGAGGGCCTTTCAGTTCAGTCATCCACGTTTGGCACAGTCTGAGAGCTTTTATGCCAGGGGTCCAGCTCCTGGTGTGCCTTGTTCCCTAGCCCTGTCAGTACCCCCCACCACTCCCAACTGCCCACCTCAGCTGCCCCTTGGACAGCTTAACACGGTTACCTGCCCTTGAAACTCCCAGTGTCAACCTGACCCACCCCTTTGACCGTCTCCTGCTCCGTTTGGATAAAGGACACGTTCTAGAAGCAGCCATGCCACCGGGCTTCTGGCCACTGATGTCACTTACACCTCCCCTGTGAGACCACGGCTGTTGGATCCTTAACCAGGTAACGGTCCCTCACCTGAGGGAGCAGTAAAGAGCTCTATGTGGACTGACTGACCAAGGGGTGGGTTAGGGACATTCCCAGAATCAGCACATCTCTGCTCACCTGGGTCTCGGGAACAGCCAGTCTTGGCTCAAAACAATGAACAAAAGGGAAAAAAAGGCTTTACAAACTGCCAGTTCTGCAGCCAGCATTCCCAGCTGTCTCGAGTGTCCTTAAAGGACATCAAAGATCTCCTTGCCTCTGTCAAAAGCATCTTTGGAGAGCTGTGGAGCCCCTGGGAGTAGGCAGCGTGTGGGGCTGGGCAATTCCTGCCCACCCCAGAGTGGCACTGGCACTGCTCCTGCACCAGCACCAGCACTGCTGTGGCACTGGCACTGCTGTGGCACCCCACAACAGATTGGCTGTGCTGCCCTGAGGAGTCCGAGGTCAGTCCAGCTGCCTGCACTTCTCTGAGGGGAGAGCACCAAAATCACACCGGAACAGCCAAGAGCCAGGAGCGGGATGGTCACACTGCTTCACTGGTCTTTAGGAAACAAAACTCACCAGGTCATGGCTGTACAGAACAGGGCAGATGGCAGATAGTCCTGAAAAAAACAAAACCCAATGTTTTTCTACCTTTCACCCAGGCAGAGGGTGGACAGGGGGTGAACACGGACCCTAGATACCAGAGAAGAAAAGGGATGGACACAGGCAGAGCTGTATGCTGGTTTTAATGTTCCTAAGAACTAGGAAACAGAAATCAAAAATAGACTTTGCTCTTCTTGATAAAAGTAATAAAATGGTTAGCGGTGTTAAATTAATCCTTACAAAACAAAACCCAAGGAGGTTAAATAAAGCCCGCAGGCTTCGCATAAAAACCACAACGACTACAAAACAGCTGCAAAGACGTCTTTACACACCAAAGAAACTCCTCTCCTCTGCTCCTTCCCTCTCCAGGACACAGTGTCGGCAAACACGGGACTCACACATGGGAAAAGAACACGGATGCGATGGGAGCAGCCCCGCCAGGAGCGTGGGCGCCACGGACAGAACTATTTACACTATGGACACGGAGCCGTGCTGGGGCCGGTCCGGCCGCAGGAGCCCCCGGGCTCTGCCCGTCCCTCTCCTGCCGGGGCCCCTCCGGCCGCGGCGCTCAGCGCCCAGCACTCGCGCTTGCCATCCGTCCCTCCATCTGTCCCACTGTCCTTCCGCCCAGCTCTGGCTGCCCCTTCCCTCGGCGCTCCGGCGTCGCGGGGCTGCCGGCTCCTCCTGCCGCGCCACACTGGGCTCCCTTGCCCCTGGCGAGGGCCGCGGCTGAGCCTCCTCTCCCACGGGCGGCCGGGCGCTCCCGGCTCCTGGGGGCCGGCGTGCAGTTCGCAGAGGAGAGCAGGCACCGTGGAGCTGCTGCGCAGGAGTCCCGGGCCGGTGCTGCACACTCAGCAGTCTCTGCTGCCCCGGCCAGCCCCGGGGCCGCCGGCACCTCCCCTGCTGCCTCGCACCTCTGCCTTAGTTGGGATTAGTCTCTCGGCTGCTGCTCTGCTCTCGGCCCAGCTCCCGCTCTTTGTCCGCTGTGGAGGAGGACGAGGAGGAGGAGGACGAGGAGGAGGAAGACGAGGAGCTGAGGGTCCGGCCCGAATGCTTGTAGGCTGCGACGAGCTCCTGCAGCCGCTCCGGCGTGGGCTCCCACTTGGCAAAGCCGGCGCTGTTCTGCAGGAAGAGGACGGCTGTGTTGTGCACAGCCTTGTAGTACATCTCCTCTCTGCAAGGGAAGAGCACAGGCATCAGCACCTCCCCTGGCCCCCAGCACCGGACACCTGCTCCTCCTCTTCCTGCCCGCCATCCTTAGGACAAGTATTTGCCCCTGTCCTTTCTCTCATTATTCTGAGGAAAAGTGGAGGCACAGTGCAGCCTCAGGCAGTTCTGAGTACGGAAGA